TGTTTGTCTACAAACGACTACGTAAGAAAAAAAGGCCAAAATATAAATTTGAGGTTTTAAAAAAATTGTCCACAAAATACTTATTACTTTACAAGAAATTTCAAACATGTTTTTGAGTATCGTGTTGTTCAAAGAATACTAAGTATATTAAGAAAAAGACAAAATAAAATTCCCGCCCACCCGCCCCATCTCAATTGTGAAGATTTTGTTTATGCTTAGAAACATAAAACACTTTTTTGGCCTTCTGACATATAAACGTCAAATTAACATTCAAATGACATCTTCGGAAACATCCTGGATGTTTACCACCCGGCGTGCGTAAAAATTGCCCAAATTGTCCACTCTTCCTAGACGTTTATAAATAAAAATCTCTTTACACATCGAAAATATAATTATTAAAACGGCAAATACATAAGATATTTATTGTTGAATAGCAATGTATCATATAAGTTCGAATATTTTTTAGTTCAAACGGACCTACGCCATCTTGTGTATTTTTGTGCACCAGTTACAGATCACTCTAATTGACATATTCATTGACAGTTATGTTTGTTTTATTTCTGACTTTATGTGAAATTGAATAAAAAATATAAATAATTTTTAAAAGTTGTCGGCCAAAAAGTTTAATACAAATCTTGTGCGTTAACCATTTTACAGCGCTCAATCATTAAAGTACTTCGGCTTCAAATGTATTTCGCGCTGTAAAATGTAAGTTACCACACGCGAATGTAAATAACTATTAAAATGGAACATTTTTGTAAGGAAATAAGGATTTTGCAATTGGGCTCCGCCCCTAGGTCTGCCAACGAATGAAAACTTCGTTACTATTTAGATGAGGGCAGTGGAGCTTAATTAATCTTTGGCTTTATTTTTTTCTTAATATGCAGAGTATCCTTTGAATAACACGATACTCAAAAAATAAAATATATCCTAAAGTATTGGCTCGTTTCACAATGGATGTAACCTGAGCAGACCAGTTTAAACCACTGCTTATTATAGTGCCTAAATCTTTCTGAGTTTGCTATTTTATAAAATTTTAATTTACTAACGCAAGTTTTGAAGATGACGTCATTTTCTTGTTGGTGGCGATGATCAGCCAAATTTTTGTTAGCGTTTTACCATTTATATACTATTCCTAAAACACGTATAAAAGTTGACAATTGATCTAGTAGCTTCGAAAATTCTCTGGAAGATCTATTTTTTCGTACTCTAGGAATCATGAAAGGTCTTCGTTCTACGGCAATTATTTAATCAAAGGTAAATTTCTGTGTCCAAAAGCAGTTAATTTCTGCCTGAAGACGGTAGTGTGTACTGAAACATATGGCAGTACTAAGTATATCATAGAGTACATCATATACTTTTAACTATAGCAAAAAATATGTGACTGATTAAAACTAGTTAGAATAGGAAGGCAGAAAGAATAAAAATTTTTATCTCTGTGCACTTTGATTTAAATAATTGATCATGCAAAAAGAAATAAAAATCTTACAGTCTATCAAAAAAGAAGGAATGACTCGTTCATCTGTTTACGTCATGAAATTTAATGGGGTAAAAAGAGGTAATTAGTTGTTCATAAAAATATGTTTTTAAAATCAGCTAAACCAATTAATTCCCGAACAACAAAACAATATCCGGAACAAAATCCGTCGTTTTGAGGTAGCAACTTAAGGATTGAATTTTTCGAAAAGTGATGAATTCTCAATAACACTAAAGTCGGACGATTGGGAAACATCAAAGTTTTTGTTTTTTTTTTTGTATGTAGGTTTTAATCACTTCCCTCGCCCTTGAAGTATAGTCACACAAAATTTCTATTAAAAGAAAATGAAATTTGATTTGACATTTATTCGGCCAGTTTGTAAGATGACGTCATCATTTTTGGGTGGGGGCATAAACGGAAAAAATTTTGATTAACGTTGCTTACAATAACCTTAAAATGTTTGCAAGTCAAATTAAATTACAAAATGTTATACAATTTTGATTTTTTTCCCAAAAAACTGGACATCTAGGGTAAAAACTCAACACGGATTCATGGAAGAGTATGTTGTTCTATAAAATTTTAAAAACATATATTCGCCAAATTTGTAAAATGGCGTCATCATTTTTTGGGGAAAGCATAAAAGAAAAAATGTTTTTTAACGGTTTACCATGCTTACGGTAACCTTAAAACGTTGGTAAGATTGTTGTTATACAATTTTGATTTTTTTTCCAATAATTTGGACGTATAGGGTAAAAACTCAATACAGATTCACAAATCACATGAAGAAGTGTAGGTGTAAAGGGGAGGAGGTGACAACGACAACTCACTCGCACAGCCAGAGAATAGTTACAGAAGGATCACTCTGCGAAAACATACAAAAAAAAATCGGGACGGTAGACAGACGGACACACAGACAGAAAGACATACAGACGGAAAGGGGAGACCCATTTCTTCGTACTCTAGGGGTCATGAAAAGTCGAGAAAATGTATTTTGTTAGACAAATTTTCCACTTTAAACCTGTTTTAAGATTCATCTTGTGAAAAGAAGTCTACACATATTAAAATAAAAAGGCAAAATGTATTGCATTTAAATTCCGCTCCTTTGGCTCTCGACGATTATAAAAAAATCATCACAATTAGATAGGGCGCGTGGGCGTGTCTTATTTTGCTTCTTTTCTTAATATCTTACATAGTATTCTTTGAACAACACGGTACTCAGAAACATATTTTTTATTTCTCGTAGAGAACTAAGGATTTTGCAGTTAAGCTCTGTTCCCTTGACTCACGACGAATAAAAAAAAACATCACAATTGAGATAGGGTTGGTGGGCGGGGCTACATTTTGCCTTTGTTTCATTGTATGTGTAGACTTATTTCGACAACAAGAAACTTAAAACATGTCTAAAATGCTAAATTTTTGTAGTATTCAAACTTAAATCTTCCGCTTTTCTTCTATAACCCCTTTAAATACGCCAAAAGTTGAATATCAAAGTTACTCATCAACGGCAACTTGGTAACGGAGTTTATAAATGACAATTTTCATCTCTAAAACCAACTGCAACAGTAAGTTTATAAATCCCACTGCTAACGTCATCAAAAAAAGATGTTCAGAGGACATAATTTTAGAAATTTTACGACTGGAAGCCGCCAGCATTTCTTCCCAAGAAGCGGTTCAGTGAACTACATTGGAGCTTTTCACATTCATCGTAAAATGAGGCTGCTCTGACTGTGTTCCGAGTCTAGCGCTTTGTCTAAGATTTTTTTAACATTTGTTTCGGTGGCTTCATGTGAAAGAAGCTTTTCAAAAGTGAAATTGTTAAAATCGTTCTTAAGGTCGACAATGATCTAAAATTTTTGTTAGCGTTTTACCATCTACATGTTGTTTATAAAATACGTAAAAAATTTGACAATTGATTTAGTAGTTTCGAAGATTCTCTGGGGACCTACTTTTTCGTACTCTAGCAATCATGAAACGTCATTCAGTGCACTCGATTGCAATACTTTCTTAGCTTACGCAAATTCAATCTGCCAAAAAATTACAAAATGCCCTTTGTTAGGTTTTTGTCATAAAATGGAGGTCTCAAATATTTCCAATGGTTCCCAAACACCCTAAATTGAGCGGTTTTAGGCACGTCTCGATTGGGTGGCATTTGGTATCTCATTACTTCAGTACTGGAAACAGAGATGCGACAAAAGTTTTAATTTCAGCAAATTTTTTTCAAAACTTTATATTTATTGGCGCTGGCAGTAGACTATGAACTTTGACACTATTATATAAATATATTTAGACATGAACAAAATTTCCTGTCGATGTTGTTAAAAACTCACTTCCTACTGGTCAAACTTGATTTACTTTTTACACACGTACTTCATAGTTTAAGAACTGATGTCAACGGAATTTTACTGAGCCGTGAAATAACAACAAATTTAAGAATACCAATCCAATAACAATTCTGGTAATCTTTTGCGTGCAGAACGATATTTATAAATAAACAGTAAGTAAATGAGTCCATCTTCGGCGAACCTCAACTCCAGTCCAGTTCAGGCGTAATCCGGTCCTTAGCTCCGGTCCGCGGTCATCTTCGCCATTTAGGCATGCCATTAACTCCGGTCCGGCAAATATACTTATGTAGTGCGCGAACACATTCAACTCACTTATATGAATCAAATTTTTCAAAGTTGTATCAAGAAATACGCTTTTTTACTTAGTTGATATTATATGTACACATGGAGTTTAAACTCATAACTTAAAAAAGGACAGCTAAAATTTATGCAAATTTTACAGTCACTGCTCTTACTATTAGTTTGGACTGGAGGGATAAAGGTACTTTAACCAATGTAACGAGACAGAACCTTGGACCGGAGTTGATGATCGCCCGTCACCTTTAATTTTCATGTTCGTATTTTTGTGAGACGTATTATTTTTAATATTATTGTTGAGATAATTTCAAGGCACTTAATCCGGAAAATAATATGGAATGCACTTTTACTATCCTTGATTAAAAATTGCACTGGGTGTCCCCAATCCATACATTTAGAATAAACCACCAAAATTTTTGCAAGATCCGCAAAAATTGTCTAAAAATAATAATGACTTGCAAGTCATCCACTTTTGTTTTTATGTAGTCACTTAACAACTACTAGCTTACTTGTTAGAAAAAAATCAAGGGTGAAACCATTGAACAACAACTTTTGCGTCAAACGTCGCCATCAATCTAAGGATCTTCAATTAATAATGTCAACTTTTTACAATAATGCCGCACTTCCTGCATCATTGTAATTACTCCTCTATGCAAATAACAAATAAGCGCTTACACGTAATGGAAAAAATCCCGGTCCAATTAAAATTTCGGAGCATCGACGCCTCCAATAGAATCCCATCCCGAAATTTGGATCCCCTCCCTCTTCGGAATTTTGAGCATTACCCCCTCCAAACAAAGGCCGTTCTATGACTCAATTTTTTCCCTTGTGCGGCGCTGGAGGTGGGGGAACCTTTCCTATTTTATTTACTTTTAAGCAATTTACAAAATATATGGCGCTGGTAGTCTGGTGTGAATACTTCGCAAGCAGCTTTTCAAAATAGTGTGAGACAGTGGTGGTAAATGTTGGGTGAAGACCAGTGCAGGTGACCGTGCTAGTTCGCCCAAGTTATCAATCGGAGTCCCTGCCTTATCCGAAATGAACAACACCGTAAGTAGCGGTTACATAAAGTCGGTCGATTGCCAACCGATCATAAACAAAATAGCTTCGAATTGAGTGGCATTTCGAGCCGCAGGACGAAAGTGAAAGTGTTTCACTGATCTATCTCATTCAGCCGACTTATCTCCGGCGATTTCGTGCGGTCACGCCGGTTTGCGCAACCCCTGCGCCCGAAAAGCAAGAATGGGCCCCCGAGTGGAGCCCTGAGGCGAGCGCCCTCCGAACGCGCTTACACAACCGACCCAGATCGCTGTTTATGGGGGATTTTTGTATTCGAAGCACACACGCCGCGGCGGCCAATGGAGATGCAAATTTTCGGTTATTGGACGCAGGTTGGGCCAATGAAGCCTCGGTCGAGACCTTTGCTAATGGTAATGGACACGGTTATGGGTATTGCGCCCAAAATGCGCGCGATTAGCGAAACTGTGAAGTGGACGAAATTAGTAGAGTGTGTCGGAGGAAGTTTAAAAAGCACGACAATCGTTTTTGAGGATTTTAGCTGATTTGTCATGTCTTGGGTGCTGACTAACTTTAGCAAGTCTCGATCCTGCACCAATTTTATCAAAATTTTCTGAACAGATGCAGAAGGCCGAAAATTTTGCTAATTTAAATAATAATAATTGCTCAGAAAATACGCACAGGAACTATGGACCCGTGAGTTACCGCAGCGTTCATCTCATAGTTCATTTTTTGTTGAGGCTACGCTGCCTCGGTGAAATTTTCCACTCGTGTGGTTTATTCTTCAGTATGTTATTATAACACATTGCCATCGAGGTTACAGAATTCCTTGCCTCTAAACCATGCGATATCAAAATAACTGCATTACGTTTGTAACAGCGAAAGTCTGCACCATTTACGTTCTTCAGTATTTCCCAATGATGGAATTGTTTTTGTTTTGCTTAGGGCTGGGCCCGGAAATTCACAAAAAAACAAAAATAAAACGTTTAAAACCGGACAACAAATTTACCAAAATCCGTCGACGTCATTACAAAACACGATGATATAATTTGGAAAAAAACGTAAGGATAGGACAAGTTTTTGCATTGACATTGATTTGGAGCATTCCTTTTGATTATATTGTTGCAAATGAATATTCAAAGAAGATAATTTAGCATATCTACTGACTACTGTATTATATTAAAGCAGTTTCTGTCACACAGTAAAATAACCGCACTCTATAAAAAAACTGTTAGTAGTAAGGTAGGAAAAAAATTACAACTTTTTTATTTTTAAAAACTTAAAACACGTTTAAAATGGTAAATTTTTGTAAGGAAATATGGATTTTGAAACTTCATTACTATTTAGATCAGGGCGATTATGGGTGGGGATTAATCTTTGGCTTTAATTTTTTCTTAATATACCTAGTAGGTATCCTTTATAACACGATACTCAAAAAAATGTCTTTCATGTTAATTTCTTGTAGAGAGTGAAATAATGAGAATTTTGCATTTAAATTCCGCTCCTTTGGCTCTCGACGATTATAAAAAAATCATCACAATTGAGGTAGGGCGGGTGGGCGGGGCTTATATTTTGTCTTTTTTCTTAATATACGTAGTTGTTTTTTCAGACCAAGAAACTTAAAACGTGTTTAAAATGGTCAATTCTTTAGACAAATATCGATCTTGCAATTAAGCCCCGCCCTTCGATCTCACAACGAATGAAAAATTCATCACAATTGAGAATTAAGATCGGGGCGGGTATGGGTGGGGCCTAATCTTCGGTTTTATTGTTTTCTTAACATACATAGTATTTTTTGAACAACAAACATGTTTTTAATTTCTCGTAGAGAAATAAGTATTTTGCAGTTAAGCTCCGTCCCCTTGGCTAACGACGAATAAAAGAATCATCACAATTGAGACAGGATGGGTGGGCGGGGCTTATATTTTGGCTTTTTTTCTTAATATGTGTAGACTTATTTCGTGAAAAAGAAACTTACAACATGTCTGAAATGGTAATTTTTTGTAGTATTCAACTTAAATCCTTCACGTTTCTTCTACATCCTCTTTAAATACGGCAAAAGTTGAACATCAAAGTTACTATCAACGGCAACTTGGCAAGGGTTTGGCCCGGAAACTCAGAAAAAACAAAAATAAAACGGTTAAAACCAGACAACAAATTTAACAAAATCCATCGACGATGATATAATTTGGAAAAAACGTAAGGATAGGACAACTTTTTGCATTAAGGTTGATTTGGAGAAGATAATTTAGCATACTGTATTATGTTAAAGCAGTTTCTGTCACACAGTAAACTAACCGCACTTAGTTGTGATGTAGTAAAAAATTTCATTCTGTTTAAAGCATAAAGACAAAGTTTTTTTTTTTTAGTTTTAGTATGTTGGAAAATTCAAAAACTTGTTGCCCTGCTGCTTTATAACTTTTCTTTTGTCAGAAGACCTGGAAACACTTTTTTTCGTTTAAGCATATTTAGTGTAACACAATTTGGCACTACAAAATTCATCAAATTCCGGTTTTTTGGATACGTTAACATTAGTCATAACCAGTTTTGCATCTTTCATATAATACAACTCATTTATAAATAAGCATAAACTACATAGCTTGAACAGAACATAAACTTAACTTTGGCAATCTAAGAAAAAAATTAAATCTATATTTACTATATTAATAAATGCGTAATACATACGAGTATGAGACAAATATTCATTTCTGCTTTCATTATTGTAATTTTAGTCAATAAAAACATTACTGTTTTAATGGGCAACACTGTTCTCAGGTCAACGGCTGGAAAAACTCTTGGAAGAAAATCAAAACTGGTATAACTCGTTTTACCATAGTTCCAATTATTTCGGTACTACGGTAACGGATTCGATCGTAACTGAATTAATAATAATATCCCCCAAAAATAACAAACATGGCTTTTAATAGTAGCGCCACAAAAACCATCAGTATGTCGTTATAAACTAGTTAACGATAACAATTATTGTCGTCCTAAAATAACACTCCCAGTTTTTAGAATCTAAAAACGTATAATTTAATTTTTACGCCTTACCACTTAGCAATAAACATCAAGAATTTTCTGTGAATTAAGTAGGAAAACATTAAGTAAATGGCCATGAACTGTAAACTGTAATTTGCGTATTACTTACAACTGCCATAGACATAATAATTTTCCAATTAGATAATAACGATCAATTTGTATTTTTTATACTGCTTTGATAATACCAATAAGCAAAACTTAGAAGTTGTTACAGAATTCCTTAAATTCGCAACCACTTATTTTAATTGCACAGTTTCAACACATTTTAATTTTCATGGTGTGAACTTGGCCTTTCATGTTTCTCTTTAAACCTGAATGTTACTGTGTCATACGACAGCGACAACAGCAACTTCGTTAATAAATTATACAATTATTGATAACAAATGGTTTTCCCAGAACAAATATTCTTCGGGAAATTTGCATATAGCAACAACAATTTATTTAATTTTATGTAGGGCCCTGGGAAGGTCAAGCAAGGTTCAGTAATTGATGCACAACTGAGTCAAATTTTGTTCAACAGGAATTAAAAACTAAGTTGAATGTCAAGTTAAGCAGGATGCAAAAACGCACTTTAACTAGATGCACAGTTAAGTCACAAAACAAATTAATTTTTAATTTGTGTGACAAATTTACACGGGCGTTGACCATCACGTCACATTAGCATAGCATAACAAAACATTCAAGGAGGCATCGTGAAAAAAATGCTGTTAATTATTTATATCGCGTTTTTTTTTTTAATTAATTTAATCATAAAAAAGATGCTAAACCTATGAGAAAGAGAGAGACAGATAGAGAGAGAAAGAGCGAATACCCCCTAGGGCGAACTATTTAGAGAGATAAGCAAAGAATAAATTACATAAAAACAAAAAATTCGAACTATTTTTTGTTGGTGAATATTTACAGTACGAACTAATGAGAAACTGAAATATTTTCTTGGAATTTTCATTGACTGCACCTTTTCTAATGTAAATATGTAATATTAATGACAATTTGTTATTTCCGTACGCGCTAAGAACCTGAATAATTTTTAATTAATACATAATATCACTGATACTCTGGTTGTTATCCGTATACCTTCTACGTATTTTCGTTTCTATTCATTTATGGATAGTCGACGGTCCTTCCTTCTACGTCATATATGTGACTAAGCTCTTTTATTTTTTCTGCAAGGTTTTCCTATTATCCTCGAAGTTTCAGGTTACTTAGTCCTGATTTTAAAATACTTTCTCCAATTTATTTTAAATTGAAGAAATTTGTACCAACTTAACTTTTATTTTCATTTGTAACTTTTCATCCATTTACGTTCGAAACCGTGAATTGATGTAAACAATTATAACTGGTTCTGTAGTACTCATACGTTTAAAAAATTCATTTTTATTTATTTCCATAGCTCCTGGTCTTCAATTGAAAAATATGCAAATAAGTTTGAGAATTAAGAACGGAAAATCACTCAAAGTCAGTTAAATGTCTCAAGGTTTTTGAAGACTGTCTTAGAAGTAACTGTGAAGATAAATTTTAAAGGCCGACTTCCTTGTTTTGATTTTTCTGGTTGTATCACTCACCTGTTAAAAATGGTATATAATTCTGGGTGTGTAGCGATGGAAATCTTGCTACTTGTATAATTTATGGGATGTGAATTGAGGTTGTCTTGTTATTCACTAAAAATGGATACTATAATTAAATTTTTCATCGAAGGATGTCTTATTTGTAACAATGAGGTGGCAAAATTTGAAATAATTATCACTGAAGAGATAATAAAGAAGGACAATAAATTTCGCCAAATCATTTTGGGTGTACTGATCTTTAGTAGTGGACCCAGAAGTAGTAATTTTAAACCGGTATGGGAGCGATTTGGAGAATCCTGACAGCTATGACGTCAGTAAAAGACAAAGAGTAATTTTTTAAGCTACTCGTAACACCCAATCATCTCTCAAATAAACGAACAAAGTACGAAAAAGCAGACATATGTTATTAGTTTTTTTACAAATGCAGTAATGAGTTCATTAGAAATCCCCAAAAGTCCAATTAGCGCGATTAGGAATTGTGAATCAGCGATCTCAAATACAGAACAATGATTCGCTAACCATTAACCGAAAAGTCGAGATTTATGTAACCACAACATGTGTTTTTATCTCGAAAACACCTAACAACAACATGTTATGATATAAATTTGAGCCACATCTCGTTACAGACTACACTTCCTCGAAACCCGACCTCGTTACTATCTAAAAGCCAGACATTTCATTCATTTAGGCAAGGTTGGAAATCCATCTGAAAATCCCACACAAAGAGAAATTCGTCCTTGTCGGACTCGAAAATATTTCCCTTAGGACTAGTTTAGCAATAGGCTTTATATAATTTATTTCTTGTGCAATGGCGACTTCGCAGTTGGTAACGTGTATGCGAGCTACTTTTAAATTCTGTCCGCATCCATTCCATGTCTCGTTTACTCCTTTATCTAGATTTGCAAATTAGGATCAGTCAATGACTTCCGTTTTTCTTGTTTAGGTAACGTCAGAGATTTTATCCATTATCTACACATTCGCAATTATGGTAACTACAGTGGAGATTAGTTGGCATACTTATTATCAACATTTTTTAACGTGAAGTTGCGCAAAACATGTTTAGACGACGTCTCATTTAGTAATTTCTCGGTCTAGTTAAGTTCCGACAATAAAATTAGTCAAATCCTGGAGATTTCGTAAGGTTTCGTGCTTTACTGATCGTTGAAGTCTCCTCCAGAATACGTCGTTCTCATGCGATTATTGTTTCAGGAGATGGTTGGCCTAGTCAGGATGGCCTTTGACAGGTACCACACCGTCCTAGACAGGATAAGTGGTAAGAATATCACACGAAAGTTGTAAACTCAGTACTGACGCCCATTTTCCAGATCCTCGTACCTCAAACTGGCCCCTGATGCAGAGTCCAGTGCCCACCATAATGATGGTGGTGACCTATCTCTACGTTATTCTGATCCTAGGTCCCCGTCTCATGGTGAACAGAAAACCCTTCAAACTACGTGAAGTACTCATAACCTACAACGGAGCCCAAGTCCTCTACAGTCTTTTTATGTTGTACGAGGTTCGTCATTTAAAATAGTCACTCTTTTTATTAGATTTTAATGTGTTCTCTGAATACTTGATTACTTTTCAATTAAGAATCAATAAGCTTCGCCTTGAACCAGCGTTGAGTACTTCACTGTTGTATAATAGAGCGTGGAAGGTCATGTAACAAGTGCCGTTAATGGGTACCATTTTCTTTCTTCCGCGAACTTTCTCCGCAAGGACGTTCGTTGCTACCACAAGGTTAATTGTGTTTTGAAGGACGCTGTGGAGAAAGTCACGGATGGTCTTGAAAGACGTTATTATTGTTTACTTTTTTCAGCATCTGATGAGCGGTTGGTTCTGGGATTATAGTTACAAGTGTCAACCTGTGGATTATTCGTACAACAAAAAAGCGTTAAGGGTAAGTCTCCAAGCGAAATGTGTCAGGGTGTACTACTGTTTTGGTCAAGTAGAAATTGTAAGTTGTTTGGTGTTGCAATTTGTTCAGTGTGACCTACCAATTAAAAACTTGGTATACTATCAACTACAAGATTAGTCGATCAGTGTATCCACGTTAAACAAGACACTATTTTTGCTGCTTTCGTGAAAAAAATGTTAAACAAAATAAAACTAACACAGAAACAATTTTGTCCGAATTACGCTAGGTAAAATCAGAACCCGTTATTACTATATTTCAACTACACTTTTGCTAAGAACCTCGTCATGTCACGTATAGATGTGAAATTTCATAATTTGTGTGAATATTTAATTGGCCCACAAGAAGTTAAAAACGTGTGTCGTAAGAAACTGCTCAAGCTTCCATTCCAAAAAAAAATACCACATTTTGAGGCCATTTTCCTGTCTATTAGATGAAAACAAAAGATCTACTACCTTCAAAAGCTTCTCCAATAAGTTGATTACCTTGATTGAAAAAAACATAATTTTGTACATTTTTTAATATTCTGTTATAGTGACAATGAGATGAAAATGTGTACTAATAACCTCTTTACATATTTATCTGCTCCGTCACCAACAATTTATATTATAATGAATATGTGCTAACTAAAAGTTTTAGCTTCCTGCTTATTGTGTTCCGTGTGTTATCAAAATATAAATACCCAAACTTTATTACATAGTCGTAGTTTTTAACATTCACTACCTGGTTTTAATTACATTTTAAATTCATATTAAAAAAAATTCCAATACTGGCATAGTACGCCTAGGAGTAGAACAAATTGTAAGTTACAGATTTCATTAAATTCACTAATTAAGTTCAAAGTTCTTAATCAAGGATCACCAAGATTTGACAGTGTCGCTCGGAATTTTCATCAATGTAAACAAGCCACCCATCACTTGTCTTGACCTTTGACCACTGACCATAGAAAGTTTTCCCCCCGAGAAAAACCCATCGTTAGACGCGACCCACCTTTGTAATCATAGCCTCCAAATCTTGCAACATCTCATTTGCGATTTAAATATTGTTTTTGCCTCACTAAGCCTTGAAAGTACGCAATGCAGGATGCGCATCAGTCATCCCTTTTTCTTCATTCCAGATGGCCAACCTCTGCTGGTGGTACTACATCTCGAAGTTGAGCGAATTCACCGACACTTTCTTCTTCGTCCTGCGCAAAAAAGACAGTCAGGTGACGCTTTTGCACCTGTACCATCACAGCCTCACGCCCTTGGAGACGTGGATTCTTGTGAAATTCTTAGCAGGTATGCGTTAAAACAAACCAACTGTGCCAAGGCTGCTGAAGCAGACTATAATCAAAAGAGGAAACGATGTGATCGATCGAGACGGAGTTTCAAGTTCAAAGCTGAGTGACCTTACTCGAATTTCAGCTTAGGTTTAATTGGGAATTTTATAATTTTTGTTTGAGCGGTTACGCAATCGCCATTGACACGATTCGTAGAAAAAGGTAGCCGAAAGTGATTTTTTATGATCTTTTATAGCCTTGGTCTATAGGGGACGTGATTTCTCTATTTTGATTCATTTCAGCTTGTAGACGAAAAATTTGCGTATCATGAAGTGATATAATCTGACGAAATACTTAATTAGATAATTCTGTAGGTGATACTAGGTATAATTTTAATCGATCGTGCGACATACTTCGACACGGAAAAGAAAATTCTTGATTATTGAAGGACTTTCCGTATGTTTTATTTTTTGACTGTGATAAATTGACACCAAGTTACCTTGAACGTGATCGCTTTGTGTTTAATGCTTTTTAAAAACGCATCGTGTCGATTAGCTAAATATTAATCATTTCTGACGTTAATTATTTATTGTCGTAATTGTTTTCGTGTTAAAAATAAAAGTAATTCAGTGGTTCATGGTTCATACATATTATAATCTATTACTATTGACGCAAAATGTAGAAAAAGAATACATATAATTAAAAGTTGTTGTTTATTTGGACAATATAGTTTTATTTTACAAAAATAACCAGTTTATCAATTAAGTCGCTCTAATTTTTATATGTATTTGGTTTTCGTTTAATACATCGTTATGTTGACCCTTTTCTTGCACTAAACAGGTTGCCACAAATGCGTCAATGGTAAAACCCGAACTATAACCCGTTATCGTTCAAGTAACAGTTCACTACCAAGACTTAATTAAGAATTTGGCTACAGGAAAAGCTGTTACGTGAAATCATTTACATAGAACAATTTTATGCACTTTTTAATTTTTGTGTGTTGTTACACATTTTGGGAATATTTATGTAAATAATACTTAATACTCACTTATACATATAATCACTAAAAAATGAACAAGAAAACAACGAAAGGAATTTACAAGAAGGGATTTTTATCAATGACAAACCTTTCATTAAAGATAAACAAACACATATCGCTATCAACACAACACAAGAAGAGAAGAATCGGGGAAAATTGTCAAAATTAGTGCTTCTGTTGGTATTTTCTGGCCTGTTTGGGTGTTGGAAATGTTAGAAAACACAAGAACGAGCTTGAAAAGTAATATTTCTGACGTTTATAAACGAATTCTTTAAAACTACAAACACCAGAAGATGGAAAAACCCAAACGTCTCCTTTTCGCAAAACAACTCGATGCTATGTCTCTCAAGTGCGTGATAACGCTCAGTAGAAATTTGATGGTTTTCTTGGTATTTTTTAACATGGTGAAATACCTGGGAGTCGCAACTCGCGCCTTTCGGAGTAGGCGTCTCCAACGGGAAGACCACCTTTGCACAAACCCTCTCCTGAGTTAACTCGCCTCAGGCATCATAATACCCAACCCACCGAGCTTCACCAAAACACAGACGTCACTTAGACATTTTTGCATCTCCATGTACCAGTTTTGTGCAAAGCTGGTTCGACGGGTGCTGGTCGAACTGCATCACTTTGCGGTTCATGGCCTGGAAGCAGACGAAATTGTTGACCTCTTGGACGAAAGAATGCACTGTTCCTTCGAGTCTCATATGGGTACGGCTAACTGATAACCTTCAAAGCCTATACCATTTCGAAAAGGCTCTCTGTGGCTCGGATACAAGCGAGTAGTAACCAGCTTAGCGCTTTTCCCAAACCGTCAAAGGTTTTTCAGGGTGGGAAAAACAAAAGTAGCTCATACCACATATCACTCCAGCCAAGTACCAAAGAAGGGCTAAATTTTGCAGACCTTTTACAAGGAACTGAAAGCTTTGATCGACCTGTAATACAGATCCCGAGATCAAGAGATGCTATCTTTTCGCTTCTTTGTTCCGTAAAGTTATGTGGTACCGGTAGCTGTACCAAATAGGATCGCACTGCTCCTCTCACGCCTAGGCCCCTAGATTCGAACAACAGAAATATTGTAACCACAAAGACACCAATGTGTGTTTATACAAAGGATAGGTAATCTAGTCAGAAGAAGAAAGAACAAGCTAATCGTAGGAAGAAACAACACAGTGTAGCATGGTGACAACAAACAAAAGTAAAATACACCAATTAAAGACAACGACAAAGCAAACAGAATAGGTTTCCTATTAAGACCTACGAGCAAGAAACATGGAAGAAAAGAAATGTTAAAAAGAGATTGGCCATTTGAAATAGTGCGGCCGAAATTTTCAAAATTTCGTCAATTTTCGGAAACTGTTGTTAATATTTTTGTCAAGTTTGTAAAAGAGCCTTTATTAACTGCACCTTACATTTTTTTTATTATAAGTACACATTCTTGAACATTTAACCTGAGAATAAGACTTGGCTTCTCCATTCCCTGAATACAAAAAATATCCAGATATCGTGTTTGGAATTTCTTCTTTCGTCTTGTGTCTATATCGTTGTTCTTCAAAATAAGGCTGTATGCTGTGTCTAGCAATTCCCGCAACAAGAATGGAACATTTTTCGTTCCAAATTTTATATTATTTATTTTGCATATGTATACTTATTATATACCCTGCTTTCTTTCTTCTCATTGTTCTTTGGTTCTCTTTGTTTCCTTTTCTTTTTACCTCCAGAGCGGAAGCTAAGAAAGTATTGGAATAGTTTGCGTCTGTCTGTCATTAGTCTGACGTCTGTGTCAATTTTATTAGACAGGTAATTTCCGAAACTACTAGGCTGATTGGTGTCGAATTTATATGTACGTTAGGAATACTGCGTAGTCCTCAGTTCATTTGTTACTATTATCACTTAGAATATAGTTTGTATAAATGTACCATATTTTCAAAGAAAAGAGAATTTTTGTTGATAGTAAGGCTGACCTTTGCTCTCTTAACATGAATACTTGGGTTTCCAAATATCGGCATACCAATATTTTATCTATTAAAAATAGTACAAAAATAAGAATTAAAAATTGATTCATGGTTACTTCGAGAAAAGTAAGAAAAATTTTTTTCTGATAACCTTTATATAGTAAGAACCAGTTTTGTGCCGTCCACAGACATACGAAAAATATGAAAAATATTCAAAGCAAACAACCAACGGAAAAGAGTGTATTATAGTGTATTAAATTTGATTTTACGATTTTCGTTTTCTGATAACCGCTGTAAAGTAAAAACCAGAGGCATAAATACCACCACTTGTCCTTCAGCACAAGGTAATAGGAATCTGAAGCTCAAGTGTGTATTTATGTTTATACATCGATATAATGTCACGTAGAAATTAATTTGATTTGAATTTTTAGAGGACTAAAATTATTAATTAAACCACAACCGAACGAAATGTTGTAAATATTATAATTCTTATTTTATGATAATTGTGTACAGACGTGCGTATTCTTTACATTTTCGAGAAAATGGGGTGACTTAATTTGACCAATAAAAGATTTGTGATGACGTCATCAACATGGATAATACTAGTCACGTTACAAAAGAAAAATAGTAAGAAAAATGGTAATGTAACGTTATTATACCTTGCAGATGTTTTTGCGAAAATTCGAACGTTTAGCGAAAAAACTGAAAGCGGATTCGTACACTACAAGTACAGGAATATATTTTTGTATAACATTCAAAACATTTTAAAATATAGTTCATTGAAATGACGTCATCAAATTGTTGGTGGGGATGATTAGCAAAATTTTGGTCAGCATTTAACCATCTACATGATATTCCTAATATACAGACAACAAACAGACAGACATATAGACAGACAGACAGACGGTCAGTCGGAAAAGGGAGACTACTTTTTTCGTACTGTAGGGGACATGAAACGTCGAGAAAATATAAAAATGGCCATTCGTCCGATGGACTCGACTACTGTACTTCCTTAGGTTACGCTCGAAAAGTAATAAAACGATGGAAATAGTGATATTTATTTCAACCAAAAAAAAAAAAAATCTGAACAGACTAATAAACGAATGTTAACAACTTTCTTTGATTACAACAAATGAATTCAAACAAAATAAAATAAAATATTTTGTCAAAAGAAAATCTACAAAAATTTAATATAAAATGGAATTTTATAACAATTAAAACGAATTAATTTATTCATATGAAGGACATTGTCGAAATTAGGCATTTTATCCTTTGCACTCAATCAACTGACGTATTTAGAATTTTCACGGTTAGCCATAACCTAAGACTATGTTTCAGTGAATTATGAAACCCAGTATAGCTTTTTCATTTATACATTGTATATATGTATCAAAAGATGGAGCAATCAAATGGCAATAATTTCATCTATACCGGGTGGCCGGAAAATGGCGGATTAACTCGTTTTTCTTAAGGTGTATGTCATTTTCCAGAATCGGTCTTATTTTAGCTGGTACAACCCCGCCCACCCGCCCTCTCTTTTGTTACAGGATATCTCATTTGCCAAAATCAATTTTATCTTATCAGGTACTAGCCCCGCCCACCCACCCTCTCTTTTCTTGGAGGGTATCTCATTTGCCAAAATCACTTTTATCTTAGCAAGTAGAAAATAAAAGGCAGGTGGGCGGGGCTAGTGCTTGTCAAAATAAGGCGACATTATCAAATAACATACCCTCTAAGATAATAAAGGGCAGGCGGGTGGGGCTAGTACTTACTAAGATAAAACTGATATTGCTAAATAGCATACCCTCGAACAAAATAATAGGTGGGTGGGCGGGGCAATTCTTGCCAACATAAGACCGATTTTGCCAAATGATATACCCTCCACTCTTTATTTTCTTAGAAGGTATGTGTTTTGCCAAAATCGGTCTTATTTTAGCAACTACTAACAGAAAGCAAGCCGGAAGTATCCACGCATGCGTGCAGTGTTGTCAATTTTACTTTTATAAAATTACGTTTTTTTTCGTAATCTACATCATAAAGAATTTTTTTATTATTTATTTGGGACTCCTGAAACCCCCGTACATAACGTACTGAAGAGTTAATCCACCATTTTCCAGACACCCGATATTGCAAAATTAATAATAATCATAAAATTTGTTAAGACAGACCTTAACAAATAATCATCAAAATTTGTAATGAAACAAGCATCACTGTGTTTTATTTTAAAGGAGCACCCATTATGGTGTAATAACTTTAAATTTTGATTACAGTCGTGGTTCGTAATTTGAGGGTGTCCATTTGTTTCAGGTACTTTGAATGTTATTTAAATTTTATAAAACTTGTGGTGTATGAATCCGTGTTGAGTTTGTGAAATTTTGAATAATAATTTAACTTTAAAACTGCAAAATCGAATGCTTTGAAATCTTGCAAACATTTTGAGGCATTTTAGACATTGTAAATCGTTAAAAAAATGTATATATCTATTCTGTCCAAAAAAATTTATGTCTCAAAATTTACCCGAATAAATCCTATCTAAAATGTACAAAATATTGTCAGTCTGTATTGTGGTTATAAATGATTTCATATTTTTTGCAAATTACTTACACAAGGTATGTCAAAAAATTAATAAATGAAAATTTTTATTTTATTTATTAAATCAAGAATGGCTCACCCTATTTCCTCGATAATTTAAGTATGCAGTACTATTATTAGTAATATTAGTAATATTAGTAATGTTGTAATAATAATGATGACGTTATTACAAAATTTGGTAGTATAAGAACTCACTTGAAATATATGCATAGCATGTTTCTTCACCTACCTTTTTTTAACTCATAAGGGGTTATAATAAAAGAATAAAATTCGAGCTCATGGGAAGTCGTTCTTTTATAAGTAAGGCGTATCTTTATATGCATATCACATTTTTATATTTTTGACTGGTAATAACCTTAAAGCACTGCAGTAGAAAATAGAAACTGAAAATGATTGAAGAACTTAAAAACATATCCGACTATGTTGTAACGAAACTTTGGCCGGAAAAGAATCCGGTCTATTGCTTTTAAATGTATGTTGCGTGAAGAACAAATTAAAATTAGGTGCATTGCACTTAACTAAGAAGATTTTTTTAAACCATTAATTCCCCGCGTCGTAAATCTAACAAATACCTGTTAAATCAAACAGGTTTTTAATTTATTCCTGTGGTTTTTATTGAATTTGCACTTTTTACGTAAATTCAAAATTCAGTAGGTAACAATGTCTCAATCGACTACATCAGACGTTTCAACATTATTTACATTATTGGCAATTATGCTAAACATAAATTCACCTTTTTTTCCATTTCTAGATTAAGACCACCTTGAACAATGCAATTACAATGCTTAATTAACGTGGCTCGCCATTCATGTTTGTTTGTAAATACTCTAATATACGCAATCCCAAAATCAGACTATTTGTAAACACATACATATTCATAATGTTGAATAAACTAAATGTCGTAACTTGCTGTGTAAATTACAAAAAACATGAACCATATTTTCGCTTGTAACAACTTGCGCATCTTACACTCGACATCTGTATCTTCAGTTCTTGGCCGGTTGCACCATAACCTATTGTCGTCAAAATGGTGGATGCGCTGGTTCCACACCACGCAATAGCTACTAATAACCAAAATTAACTTAATCGCTCTTCGCAGCGCTTAACATGTGTGAAATAGCGCCTCCGGTGCGACTCGTCCCCAAACCTTTCACTTCACAATCGGATGTTCGGGATGGTCCACTGTGTAAGACCTTTTTGGTGGCCGGTTGCGCAAAACCAAGTAAACCTTTATCACCTGGTGGATTTCAACAAGAATTGCAACAATACGAGTACCAAACGTATTGCCCCACCAGATATTGTCTAACGATTGGCCAACAGCTGCCATTTACACTTAAAAAACAGCTAGCACGAAACTGGTTAGAAAGTGCAAGTAAGGCAAATATCGGCGGTCCAGAATCGAAGAAGATTTCCAGGATCTATTATTATGTAATTGCTTTAATTGAACGGTTTCACCCGGGGATGGCGTGCCATTCACTTTCAGCTAATCTGTTGCATTAAATAGTGCGTGGCGCACAGTGGCGTAGAGAGAAGAGTTAATTCGCTAGAACTGGTTTATTGTGGCGCAATATTATAGAAATTTTTTTCAGGTGGACATGGAACGTTTTCCAATTTAATTAACAACGTGGTCCACGTGATTATGTATTTCTATTACATGGTAGCGGCCATGGGACCAGAATACCAGAAGTATTTGTGGTGGAAAAAGCACCTAACCACCATTCAACTGGTAAGTATCGAAAGTATCGACACACTTTGCTCATTTGCATTTAGTTGAAATCTGATTGGTGTCAAGATCATCGGGGTCATTCCGTAAAATAGCAACGATAAGAGTATATCATTTCTTAAGATAATCACAGTGCCCAAACGGCTTCTACAGATCTCAAAATCTTATGGAATGACCTCTGCTTAAAAGGAACCCCATTTTCAGGCTTACTCATTGCAATTTTTTGTGTTCTCGTCATGTATGTATTCACTGTTTGACTTTTAGTTGCAATTTACGCTGGTGTTCATACACTCGGCTCAAGTGCTGTTCACCGACTGTGGATATCCAAAGTTCATCGGGGCTCTCCTTCTGCTCCATTCTGCGATTTTCTTCGTCCTCTTTGCGCACTTCTACTACCAGACTTATCGGCGAAGAGAGAAGCGGATCAAAGCGGATTAGAAGATTGCAGTATTCGTTGAAGTGTATTTATTTTATTATTAATAGCAGAGGATTTAGTTCGGTCGTGAGTCAGACATCGGCAAGTGTCATAGTATTTCGTACTTACTATCATCGTACCTCATCTGTGCAATTGTTTTATGATATTATTGTAGCATCATGATAGTAAAATATTTAACCTAGTCATAGATTCTGTTTTACAAACAGATCGTATGTAATTGAGACCTTAAGGTGGGTCAGTGGCGATTAGGTGGTTTAGAAAACTGCTTTGTAGACAACCAAATATACAAGTTTTTAGACTTGAAAGTGTTAGAGAGTTGAAGGTCTTATAGTATCTGTATGTATTCAGTGAATACAAGAAGTACCACCTTAAGAAACTTCTTCAGTAACTTAATTGTATTCGTCAATAGTGTAATATTTCGTTACGCAATTTTGTATTTGCTCAATGTTTTGTATTTATAATTTAATACATTTGTGAAATATATTGTGTCTAATTTTGTTCAGAAAAGATTTGATCAAGATGATCAAATGCATGGATTCAGTAGAAAGTTGTCGTTCTCACAATGTCAAATATATTACAATATGAGTGGTAATATAAAAACCATCTTTGACCTTTATCGTTTCGAAACAAAAGAACCCATAAATTTATTGCCTTATTATTTTTGCCGAAATCATCGTCTGTGTAATCATTATGACAAACTTAAAAAATATGCTGTAATACAGAAGTTGTAAATATTCTGATAGGGTGTAAACAGTTTTATTGATATTTCGTTTGTCGAAATGTCCTGAATGTGTTTTCAATACCAATAATGTCGTATCACTAGCATTTTCTTGTATTTTTTATTGCTTTATGTTTCAACAGCAACATACCTAATGGTAAAATAATGTACTTAGGTACTTGTCTTTATCGCAAGGCGTTTGAAAAGTTTCTGTAAGTTATCTAACATAAAAAAGTAGGAAACTGATTAAAGTACCTAGACAGCGTACAATTATTAATTTGTAGTCACGAGGCTACAAAATATTCTTCTACCATTAAAAACTACAAAGATTTATTCACAACAGATTAATTAATAAAATTATTGTTTTTACGCAAATTTGTAAACATTTTTTGATTTATTTTTTGTGGCTTTAAGTTGTAACTATAAGGGACAAAATTTATAATGGCCGCGTCAAAGTATTGATCTGATTATTAAATAGTCTGTCATGCGCACCACAAAAACAATTTTTCTAGCAAATTGCGAATGTGTAAGAAATTGATTTAATTACGTTAGATACTTGTAAATATAGAGTAACATATATTTACTATCCGGTTATGGGTCCAAACAGCTCGAAAATAAACATAAAAACAAAATACACATTCAAAATGTACATGTCTAATAACAAGTAAAATACAAAAGTGTACGATAATAAGAAAAATACTCACTTTATTGTATGAAAAGCTGTAATGCGAAAATGATCACAAGCACATTATGTAAGGTATTCATTTAACTGACGAGAACACTACAAGGGTTATATTACACCTACGCTCGGTAATTAACAGCAACAGGTAGAAGAGATATGCAAATTTAATTTTTTTTTAATTACTAGGGTTTTAAAAACACGTTACTTATAATAAAAATGTCGTAAAGTAAACAGCTTACATGCTTTCGTTTTTTTAAGTTGTTAAAATGTATGCGCTAACTTTTCAGTGTCATTTGACAAAACAAAAAACCCACATTTAACGAATCATTGGTGAAGGTCGCTAAATAAATACACAGTTCTAAATGACATAAATTTTTAATAGTCTTTCTCGACTCTTTTCTCTCGGTAAGTTTGGTTATAAAAGTTTCTGAAGAGCACATAGAAACTAAGAGATAATAGTATCATGTACCAAGCAAAAATTCGAGGAAACTGGCAATGACTAGTAACCAACAACAGGTCGTGCGTTGTCACAATAACAAATTGAACCAACTGTAGAGTTGTTATATACTTCTTCCACCATAAATATTTCTGTACATTTGGTCCAAAGGCACTCAGTAGGTAGTAACTGTACATTACGATATGAATAAACGTGTTGACTAAACCAGCAAAAGTTCCATGGCCGGCTAAAACATCAAATATTATCGGGGACAGTTGGTTGCATAACTTAAACAAGTAATAGAATGGATACTTGAAAATATTTTTAAAAATTACAGGAAACTAATTGATTCCGATGGGCCTTACTTGGATAATATTTAGTAGCCACGTATCCAGACACAATCATGATGGTGTGGTGGTACACGTGCAAAAAATTAACTTGCTTAAATTTTTTTCTCAAAATGAAAAAAATCTGCAATATTTTGGCATGCACTTTTGAAACACGAAATATTTTCTTACCGTTTCAACTAATTCCGTTAGTTTGGACATGTAGTACCACCAGGTAAATGCAGCCATCTTAAAAAAATGTGCAGGCCCGTACTGATTTTAATTGTTAGTACTTACTTGCATTGCTTTTGGGGTAGACGAAACATCGATAGGTTGACACACAAAGCTATAATCTCCTGATAACCAACCATTTGAGGCAAACTGAATAAAAATAACGTTCTTTATAGTTGTAAAACGTTAATTAAAGTATTTACCCCATAAAACAACCAACAACTAAAACCTATTTGAAAAAAGTTGTATACTATAAGAGTCTTTTTCAGTTCGACGGGTTTTCTTTTTTCCACTAATTTTGGTACTAAAATCTAGAAAAAGGATTTTTATTGTTCTCACACACTTGTATACTTACTTTTACAATAAACAAATACACCAAGCAAATTATCAGTACAGGTGAAAAACTTTGTACCAGAAACCAGTCTTTCGTTCTAGGATCTATATAAAAAAAATTAACAAAATCGTGTAAACTGAACATTCTATTACCCTCATATTTTATTAGTGATAGTGATATAAGTTTGAAAAAATTTTCTACGTCTGCCATGTTTTCGTGTTGTTCAAACACTATGAACCAGTAGATTACGCTACTTTTATAAATTTTCGTTTCTAACGTCACAATATTTGGGTTAATAAGATTCTATTACGTTAAATTTTTTCAAAATACAGCGCAATCGATGATTTCGTATTCCAAGCTATTTTAACCGTAGTTGTAATCGAACTGTTTTAAAGAATGTGTCACACAACTAATATTTTACAATAACAATAGTAACATATATTTGTTTATTGCGTTTTAAAGACATAAACAGTAAGCAAAGTTATTAAATAGCAAAATACATCAAGGTGGAAAATCAAATACAGGAGTATATTTTAAGTATGACCTTATAATCGATAAAAAAACTCTAACTTTACTGATTAATTTTTATGTTTTCAATGCATTTAAGGAAAAACTTATCATGGCTTGTGACAGATTTTATGTAGTTTACTATATTTAATCAACTTCAGAACTGGAACGTCTTATATGTAATTTTACATTTATTCAGGTACAAAAACTATAAGAAACAAATGGTAAAAGCAAATTTTAAGACTGTGTCGAACAACAGAAAATAGTGGCTTTGAAAATGTAGCAATACCTTCTACACAATTTTTTGAGAACTGAAGAAATATGACATTTTTTATAGAATAATCATATTTATTTTTTAAGCACGAATAAATAATAATATTAGGACACTAAAACAGTAGTGTTACCAGGTAAATTTGGTTACAATAGCTTCCAATTTATTAAACACGTCGTAATTAACATTATTACAGTGTGTAAGTTGCAAATGGAATAAATTTAATAAATCTCACGTTCCCATTCTCTTTTATTAATATCGAATTGGACTAAAATTTTCACGTAATCTATAAATTCATATTTTACAATATTTACGTACTTTTAAATGTAACAAGTTTTCGCTTTTCCGGTTTACAACTCTGAATATTCTATTATTATTTGGTATAGGCAACCAAATGTTGTAGAGTTAATGGATGAAGTCTGATCTAATACTTTTTTTATTCTTAGGATGTAAGCAAATTGTACCTTGATGTCCATATTTTTATAATAAAATCACTACAACGCTTCCTAGTTTTGTATAAATAAAATTGAGACAAAAAATTCGTGAATATGGAACTATAGCGTGATTCTGGGGTCATTTTATGTACCGGTTGGGTTAAATATTGGGGTGTATATTTTTAATAAACAAAGAGTTAACACGGCAGCTTTTTATTTTTGATTTTTATAACTTCAACATAAACATTAAAAACCTATAAAACTTTAGACAACTTTTATTTCAATAAGTAAGTATAAAAAATACATAGGTACAACAAATAACCTGATTTAACCTACATAAAATGCATAATTTCAATTTTCAACAATCCTTTAAAATCCCATCTATGAGAAGACCATCTATGTAAGTATATTCGAGTGTTTTTCCTCTTTACAATATAAAATGATAACAAACGAACTTTTACAAAACACAGCACCTAAAATATATAAAACATATTTTATTGCTAAAATATTTTAGTTGTATATGAACACAGATCTAACAAAAAACTCTACTTATTGCAATTGGATTTCACGTATTCATAATGGAATAAATTAGCCCATAAAGCTAATCAACAAAATTTCGATCCCACTAGACCCTGTAAATAGGCACGTATTGTTAGTGGCTACAAACTTCTTGAAATTTGTACAATCCTAATTAGTCTACCTAACTATTCGCGTGAATGGAGAAGTGCTTAAAAAATTGAGCAAATTGCCTTATGGTCATGAACCCGAATTAATTATCCTACACAATTAAATTAAGTAAATAGTTCGATCATGACTCAATTGAATAAATAAAGCTACCACTATATCACTGCGATTTTATCCGTTGATGCAAGTCCGTTCCGTTGACGTAATATTCACTAATTTTGCTTGACTTTACTCCGTTCTGGATCGGAGCGGCGCCGTTCTGCGCGGGAACGGCGCCGTTCTTGAGTGCACCGTTCCTCGCCGCCGCCGCCACTCGCCTGTTGTACGTTTGGATGTAGAACTCCTTGAAGAGGAAGAAGAACATAACCGCATGCATCCCGATCCACCAGACGAAGGCACGTGGATAGTTGCATTCGGTGAAGAGCAACTGGAAGGCGTGGACCATTATCGCCACGAACTGGACCATCTGCAGGGTCGTCAGGTACTTCTTCCACCATAAGTACTTCTGGAATTCGGGGCCAAGGGCACTTAACATGTAATAGAAGTACATGATGATATGCACGAACGTGTTGAGGAAGCCGAAGAAAGTGCTATGGCCGCCTGGAATCATCAAATTAATCAGTAATTACCACAGTTGAAAAAATGGATGACGCTTCAAACAGCTATCAAATACATATATAAAGTATAACTTGTACAGAGTGTTCATTTTATAATATTAATAGCATGTCTGTTTTTTCAGAATTCTAAAACATTTTAAAGCAAATGAAAATTGAAAATATTTGGCTGACAGAAATAATTTGTCATAATTTTGGTTCTGATCACTGCTACCTCTATGCGTTCATTATTATTTAAACTGTTTACTGTTTATGAAACGTAAAATGGATTGCATATGCAGAAATATTCAGGCGTGAACAGACAAAATGAACACCCTGTAGATAATTAAAAAACTAGGGACACGGAGACCTCGAGAATTTCTCTAATTACTTCAAAAACTTGACAAAGGATCTCCGAAATTCTTTTAAACTACTTCAAAAATAAAACACAAAGGGTCCCCGAGATTCTTTCAAATTACTTCAAAAACAGAACGCAAGAGTTACCTGAGATTTTTTCAAATTGCTTCAAGAACAATACACAGAAAGAAATCCCCGAAATTCTTTCAAACTAAATACTTCAAAACCTAAACAATAGGGATCCTCGAGATTCTTACTAAACTACTTCAAAAAAAAGTAACACGGTTTCCCGAAATTCTTTCAAATTACCTCAAAAACAAAACAAGGCTACACCGAGATTCTTTTAAATAGCTTCAAAAATAATACACATAAAGATTCCGAGACTCTTTCAAACTAAATACTGCAAAACCTAAATAATAGGGATTCCCGAAATTCTTTCAAACTACTTCAAAAACTATGCACAACGGTTCCTCGAGATTCTTTTAAATTGCTTCAAAAAGAAAACATTAGAGGTCCCCAAGATTGTTTCAAATCACTTCAAAAACAAGACATGGGGTCACCAAGATTCTTTCAAACTATTTTAAAAACAAAATGAAAGGAATGCCCGAGATTCTTTCAAATTACTTCAAAAGCAAAACTAAACGGATCCCCGAGATACTTTCAAACTATTTCAAACTTCACACAAGCATAAACAAACTTCAAAACCAAAACAAAAGGTGTTCCTTAGATTCTTTCAAACTCAGTACTTCAAATTCACAACAAAAGTAATCCCGAGATTCTTTCAAACTACTTTAAAAACCAGACATAGCGGTTCCCCGTGTTTCTTTCAAACTACTTCAAAAACAAAACAAAAGGGATCCTCAACATTCTTTCAAATTACAACAGAACGCAAAGGATACCTGAGATTCTTTCAATTTGCTTCAAGAACAATAAACAAAAAGATCCCCAAGATTCTTCCAAACTAAATACTTCAAAACCTAAACAATAGGGATCCCCGAGATTCTGTCAAAGTACTTCAAAAACCAGGCTTAACGGTTCCCCGATATTATTTCAAATTACTTCAAAAACAAAACAAAGGTTGCCCGAGATTCTTTCAAACTAAGTACTTCAAAATCAAAACAAAGGGGGTGTCCGAGATTCTTTCAAACTACTTCAAAAACACAACACAAGAGGTCCCAGAGATTTTTTCAAACTAAGTACTTCAAAATCAAAACAAAAGGGATTCCGAGATTCTTTCAAACCACTTCAAAAACAAAACAAAAGAGGTCACCGAGATTATTTCAAACTACTTTAAAAACAAAACACAAAAGGTCCCCGAGATTCTTTCAAACCAAGTACTTCAAAAACAAAATAAAAGGCGTTCCCGAGATTTTTTCAGACTACTTCAAAACTGAAACATAAGGCGTCCCCGAGATTCTTTCAAACTACTTCGAAAACAAAACAAAAGGGCTGCCAAAAATTCGTTCAAACTACTTCAAAAACAAACCCCGGGAAACATCGAAATTCTTGCAAATTACTTGAAAAATCAGAACGCAAGGGGTACCTGACATTCTTTCAAATTGCCTCAAGAACAATACACAGAAAGATCCCCAAGATTCTTTCAAACTAAATACTTCAAAACCTAAACAATAGGAATCCCCGAAATTCTTTCAGACTACTTCAAAAACCAGGCATAACGGTTCCCCCAGATTATTTCAAATTACTTCAAATACAAAACAAGATTATCTTAAATTGCTTCAACAATGAATAATAGACAGAAAGATTCCGATATTCTTTCTAACTAAGTACTTCAAAATCAAAACAAAAGGGATTCCGAGATTCTTTCAAACTACTTCAAAAACCAGGTTTAACGGTTTCCCGAGATTGTTTCAAATTGCCTCAAAAATAAAACAAGGCTTCCCGATATTTTTTTACATTGCTTGAAAAATAGTACACAAAAAGATCCCGAGATTCTTTCAAACTAAATACTTCAAAACTTAAACAATAGGGATCCCAGAAATTCTTTCAGACTACTTCAAAAACCAGGTATAACGGATCCCCTAGATTCTTTCAAATTACTTCAAATACAAAACAAAGAGTTTCCAAGATTATTTTAAATTGCTTCAACAATGAATAATACACAGAAAGATTCCGAGATTCTTTCGAACTAAGTACTTCAAAATCAAAACAAAAGGGATTCCGAGATTCTTTCAAACTACTTCAAAAACAAAAGAAAAGGCATGTCCGAGATTTTTTCAAACTACTTCAGAACTAAAAAATAAAGCATCCGCGAGATTCTTTCAAACTAATTAGAAAACAAAGCAAAAGGTGGTGCCAAAAATTCGTTCAAACTACTTCAAGAACAAACCCCGGGAAACATCGAAATTCTTGCAAATTACTGCAAAAATCAGAATGCAAGGGGTACCTGAGATTCTTTCAAATTGCCTCAAGAACAATACACAGAAAGATCCCCAAGATTCATTCAAACTAAATACTTCAAAACCTAAACAAGAGGGATTCCCGAGATTCTTTCAAACTACTTCAAAAACTAGGTTTAACGGTTTCCCGACATTGTTTCAAATTGCCTCAAAAATAAAACAAGGGTTCCCGAGATTTTTTTACATTGCTTGAAAAATAGTACACAGAAAGATCCCAAGATTCTTTCAAACTAAATACTTCAAAACTTAAACAATAGGGATCCCCGAAATTCTTTCGGACTACTTCAAAAACGAGGCATAACGGTTCCCCCACATTCTTTCAAATTACTTCAAATACAAAACAAGGGGTCCCCGAGATTATTTTAAATTGCTTCAAGAATGAATAATACACAGAAAGATTCCTAGATTCTTTTGAACTAAGTACTTCAAAATCAAAACAAAAGGGATTCCGAGATTCTTTAAACTACTTCAAAAAAAAAGAAAAGGCGTGCCCGAGATTTTTTCAAACTACTTCAAAACTAAAAAATAAGGCGTCCCCGAGATTCTTTCAAACTACTTAGAAAACAAAGCAAAAGGGGTGCCAAAAATTCGTTCAAACTATTTTAAAAACAAACCCCGGGAACCATCGAAATTCTTGCAAATTAAATCAAAAATCAGAACGCAAGGAGTACCTGACATTCTTTCAAATTGCCTCAAGAACAATACACAGAAAGATCCCCAAGATTCTTTTAAACTACATACTTTAAAACCTAAACAATAGGGATTCAAGAGATTCTTTCAGACTACTTCAAAAACCAGGCATAACGGTTCTCCCAGATTCTTTCAAACTATTCAAAAACAAAAGAAAAGGCGTGCCCGAGATTTTTTCAGACTACTTCAAAACCAAAAAATAAGGCGTCTCCGAGATTCTTTCAAGCAAAAGAGGTGCCAAAAATTCTTCCAAACTACTCCAAAAACAAACGCCGGGGAACCTCGAAATTCTTGCAAATTACTTCAAAAATCAGAACGCAAGGGGTAACTGAGATTCTTTCAGATTGCTTCAAGAACAACACACAGAAAGATCCCGAAGATTCTTTCAAACTAAACACTTCAAACCCTAAAGAAAGGGATCCCCGAGATTCTTTCGAACTACTTCAACAAACAGGTGTGACGGTTTCCCGAGATTCTTTTAAATTTCTTCCAAAACAAAAGGCGTCTCCGAGATTTTTTAATGCTATTTCAAAACTAAAACATACAAAAGGTGTCTCTGAGAGACTTTATTTCGTTTTATTGACAAAAGATGAAATCGATGGATTATTTCAAATTTTAGTGAAATTCTGCCACAAATCAGGTCACATCTGATATAAACTCCATATTGTTACTAGCAATGTGAAATCAAGAGAAGCAACTGTATATACCATCTGGTGGCCCACAGTCTTCTCATTTAAAACCTGAAGTACATATTTCACTGTCAATTAGTGCCATCAATCGTATTATCAGAGTTAGTAAATTTCTGTTTTGGTCTACTTTAGATTGACATTACCCTACATAATAAGATTGCTGGTTGCAAAAGTTTATGAAATGACAGAAAACAGTGTTACCAACCTGGTGTAAACTTGACTCCGAACCAGACGGACATAGGCATGACGCCATGATGGATCACGTGCAACGTACTGATTTGATCGTATTTTTTTCGCAAGACGAAAAAGATCTAAAATTTTGGAAGACATTTGTTGAGTGATTCTTTACAAAATATAGAAGCACTTACAGTATCAATGAACTCAGTAAATTTGGAAAAAAAGTACCACCACGAAGCGTGCACCATCTGAAACTTAGCGCTATAGAAAGTACCATGTCAATAATAAATGCGTACCCTTAATGTACTAGGTTTATTGGAATAATCGACGGGTTGGCATCGTAAACTGTACTCCCCTGTTAGCCAACCTCCCATACCGATCTGTAAGACAATATTGTAAAGAATGGGTAACAATGATTTAGTCTGAACTTACTTCATACCACAACCATACACTAAATAAAACTTGTAAAAAATTGTAAAATACTAAGGTTTTCTTTAAATGGAAGGGTTTCCTATTTTCCATCAGTTTCGGTCCCGCTACCTACAACAACCAGCGATAAACAAAAAGCAACACAAAAATTGAAAAAGAACTCACCTTTACAATAAATACATAAGATAAACATATTCCTAATGTGTAGAAAGGACTTGACATAAATAGCCAGTCTGCTGTGCGTGGATCTGTAAATGAAAGAAAATCATAATTAGATCATAATTAAAGAAATAAGTACAACCACTTGTACACAGTGAAATCAAGTTTAATTAATACCCAGCAGGTATTTCAAAAGCACGCCGCATACCAATTCGGCAATTCCAGTCATAAAACTACACAGAAATCAAACAAAATAAACACATCATACCACAGCTCGAAAGTTATCAGAATCAAGCGATTAATCAATTACACTAAATGAAACGAACCTTGACGGAGCAAATTTCGCAAACTCCCAAACTTAAAATTGCATTAGTATTTCTTAACATAGTGCTGGTAATAAGATCAGAGGATGCGGCGCAGTTAGATTATAATTGTAACACTTAAAACTCGAGGCGGCGCAGTTCGGATGTATCCTGATATTATCCAGAAATAAATTTAAAAAAAATTACTGCAGAGCAAAAAAATTCTCCTTTGAGTGAAAACAATATTTGGCCATAGACACCTGTAGGCAATATTGAGCAAACGGCTGCATTTAGACTAAATAAACGGATATTAATATGTATATTTATTTTTATTCGCTTTCTATAAAACTTACATTTAAAGATAGATCAAAGAGAAAGAATGCACAAATGATCTTTTTATTGAGGTGTTTATTAATATAAAGGGAAATAAATGCCTACAGAAACTCTTTTGAATGGGGTCAACGATAAAAATAATTTTCCAACATAAAATACAGTATATTACCTATAAAAATTGATAACGTATCATCCGACTTTTTTTGCAGTACTTTATTAGAAATAAAAACAACCACACAAAAGTAATGGGAAGATTAAAAATATTACTTTTGTTTATTAATTTTATTGCTCTGGAAATGACTAACAGAATGATCTCTGCAAATACCACGTCACATAAGACGAAATGGACACGAAACTGTTTTTTTAAATCACGCTAAACGGTTCATAAAAATTCTAATTTCGGCACAGACTTTATAATCGTCCATTACTAGTTGATTGATTAATGAGTCGCAGTGTATAAAGGTCAAATTTAAGTATCATGATGGCGATTACCTTTAACAATGAAAATTAATAGCAATTACACTCACCGCCGTAACACGGTTAGTTAGGCAACCAAACAAACACGCACTATGTAAAGTGTATAAAGCAATTACCACAATTAAACCACTCCTACCGCACACTCACATGTGAAACGTGGAACTTTCACCCTTATCACCGATCTACCATCCCAACAAAATAACCCGAATTTTGCAATCCAGTCGCAAAAATTAGTCAAAATGTAACAGGCACATTTTTCTTTTACAAAAAAACTCCACGTCCTTGAAAAAGCAAAACCATTTACGAAAAGTGCCGTTCTATTTGTTACACTTACCTTGATATTTGTTTAAATATGAGTTAATGTTGTGTACCAAGTCCAGAACGAAAGCCATTTCAACGAATCTGCAACAAAATAAATCGATGAATTTTTGGTTTGAACGTATGGGCGTATCAAGGTGTGCGGTCACAAGCAAATGAATTCCCGGAAATCCTGAAACCGCAGGAACAGCGAGCGATCCCAGTGAATTAATAATTTGCAGACATAGATGTAATAGATTTTACATAACATCGATAACTTTCGATCGTAGGCTTTCTGTGTCAATGTCAAGAACAAATTGGCACACGATTTGCACAATCGCTCGTGCATAGGCATGTTATATTTTCGTCTTATCGCTATTATTATTTAATACCATCGTTTTATTTATGGGATCGTTTGATCGACCGCGGAAATATGTATCTTCTGAGGTTACTTTTTGACGCAAAATGTTGTGTGTAATTTTTGACTACTATTTATTCATTAACTGTTTAAGCCTAACTATTTTGGGCGTGATTTTGAGCGTGAACTCAATATCCTTCAACAGCATCAACAACTCTGCTTGAAAACTGGTATTCAACATAATAACTCAACATTTTGAAATATTTTTAAATAATATGTAATTCTGAATAAATACGCTCGTGACTTGTATTTCATTTAAACAAATTATCAAAAAAAAAAAATTCGCAGACAAAAAAAAAATAAAAAACAAAGTCATCTCTACATGCTACTTTAACAGTTATTATGAATCACATGCTTTATAGACCGGATTTTGATTAATTTCATGGCTGCCGCAAAGTTAAGATTAGTTCTATAACGGTTACTCAAATCTTGATGCATCGGCACAAAAAATGTTACATGCAACTCGTGAAAAAATTATTAATTTCGTCGGTGTCCTAATTTTACGCTCAGGACAGGCTGACTTTGGATAACATTGAGCGAATATCTTCATTACAAGTTGGTGCAAATTCAAACCTTATCTACATGTTCGCTTCCATAATACTAGAAACTAATTGCAATGTATTGTCGAAAATAAATTCTATGTTTTTGACGTAATGTCCTTGTAGTAGTTGAAGCAACACTAATTTAAAACTAACTTTAGTTGTTAGTGCAATTTCTACAATAGAAACAGAAAAAATGCATAAAATCAAGTTGCACTCGGCCTAAATTTAGTTCAAACAAACTTTAAATTGAGTAATTTTACCCACATAGACATGTAATCTCCGAAACTACCGGACCGATTGTTACCCAATTTTGGATGTATATTAGGAATATCACATAGCTTTTCAATTTTAGATGGCATTTATTGTTGATCATAACGTTATTAAAACGTTGAAAACAAGTATTCTGAATAATTATCTTAGCGACTCGATGTGTCAAACGAGGAATCATCTGCTAACGTTGAAAGCTGGTTAATTTTTAACGACCATTTAACGTCATTTCAAATAGGAAGGCAATAAGAAAATATCAAATGTCCAATTTATATTCGGTCAAGTTCGAAAAAAATTGACGTCATTTTAACGTATCCATGTTACGTTTCAGTCAATGTACATTTACAGGAATTGACATTGGCTATGGTTAGTTTTGATGAGAATTCTAATTTATTGCAACTCTGTTTTAGACAGGTTACGATACCGTTAAATTTTGGTATTACGAAAACTAGTTATTTTTAGACGATAATTTAACGTCAGTTCAAGTGGAGGTCTACGGCATGTTTAAAACGAGTGATTGTAAGAATTTCATTACTAAAATATCAAGTGAAATTTGGTCAAGTTCCGAAAAAAATTGACGTCATTTTAACGTATTCATATTATATTAGAGTTAGTGTATATTCACATGAATTAGCGTTGAAACTTGGTTAGTTTTCACGATAATTTTAGTGTATCGCAATTCTGTTTTCGACAGGGTACGATACCGTTAAATTTTAGCCCCTTTTTTTTACTTTGACGTAGCTTTTCAATCTTACACGTCAACTATTGCTGATTATAACGTTATTACAATCTTAGCGACTCGATGTATCAGATGAAAAATCTGCCTGCTCATTTGGTATTCAATAATTAAAAAAAATGCATCTTAATTGATTAACGTTGAAACCTAGTTATTTTTAGACGCCGATTTAACGTCACTTCACGTGAAAGTCTTGGGCAAGTTTAAAACAAGTGAGTGTATGAACTGAACAACTGAAATTCGGCCAAGTTCGAAAAAAAATGTGCGTCATTTTAACGTATCCATGTTCCGTTGCATTTAGTGTACATTTACATGAACTGAGGTTGGAATTTGGTTAGTTTTTATGACACTTTAACGTATTGCAATTTTATGTTTTCGACACGTCACAAAATCGTTAAATTTTAGTTTTTTTTGTTTATTTTGACGCAGTTTTTCAATCTTAGACGTTATTTATTGTTGATTAAAACGTTATTACAACGTTGAAAACACGTACTCTGAATAATAATCTTAGCGACTCGATGTGTAAAGCCGAGAGAATATTCAATTTGGTATTCAATAATTTAAGAAAACATCTAACTTAGTAACGTTGATAATTAGTTAATTTTAGACGATCATTTAACGTCATTTCTAGAATTTCTTTACAAAAATATTAAACGTCCAAAGTTCGAAAAAAAATTGGCGTTACTTTAAAGTATCCATGTTACGTTGCAGTGAGTGTAAATTTACATGAATAGACGTTGAAATTTGGTTAGTTTTGACCAGAATTTCAACGTGTTGCAATTCTATTTTTCGACACGTTTGAAAACCGTTAAATTTAAGTTTTCTTTTTTTTTACTCTAACGTAGCTTTTCAATCTTAAACGTCATTTATTGCTGATTATAACGTTATTACAACGTTGAAAACACGCATCCTGAATAAAAATCTTAGTGACTCGATGTGTCAGACGAGCATTCTGCCTATACATTTGGTATTCAATAATCTAAGACAAGTTAGTAACGGTGAAAACTGGTTAAGTTTAGACGATGATGTAACGTTATTTCTAGAATTTCTTTATTAAAGTATGAAACGTCAAATTTATACTCCAATGGTTGAAATTTGGTCAAGTTAAAAAAAAATTAGCATCACTGACGTTCAAATTTGGATAGTTTTGACTACAATTTTAACGTATGTTCACGACAGGTTAGAATATTGTTAAATTTTAGTCTTTTTTTTACTTTAACGTATTTTTTCAATCTTAGACGTCATTTATTGTTGATTTTAACGTTATTACAACGTTGAAACACGTAATCTGAATAATAATTCCACTGATTCGATGTGTCAGACGACGAATCTGCCTATTCATCAGTATTCAATAATTAAAAGAAAAACAGCTCAGTATAGCAACGTTGGAGACTTGGTAATTTTAGACGACGATTTAACGTCATTTTAAATGGAATTCTACGGCATGTTTAAAACCAGTGGCTGTAAGAATTTCATTACTAAAATATCTAGTGTCCGATTTATATTTTAACAACTAAAATTCGATCAAGTTCGAAAAAAAATTGACGTCATTTTAACGTATCCATGATGAGATGAATTAACGTCGAAATTAATTTTTTACTTTGACGTTGTTTCTCAATTTCAAACATTTATTATTGATTATAACGTTATTAAAACGTTGAAAATACCTATTCTGAGTAAAAGTCTTAATGATTTGATGTGTCCGACGCGAAATTTACAGATTCATCTAGCATTCATTTGTTTTGAGAAATCCGATATAATTTTAGTCCAGGAACATTGAGAACTGGTTAATTTTTGACGAAGCTTTAACGTCTTCTAAAACGCTAACCAACATTTTTCTAATCATCCCTACCAACAACGTGTTGACAACCCCTCAAAATTTTTCATAGTAACTAGGGTTTAAATTTTATAAAATAACATATTCCTGTATTTGTTCTTTATGAATCGGTATTCAAATTATCCCCAGAGCATCTAAATTTTCGCAAAAAAAATCGGAATTATACAGCAAACTTTACCTTTATTAACGATTCATATTTTTGAAGCAATTTTTAATCCGTTTTCTGTCACGGTCATTCTACACGAAATATAAACAATTGTGTTTTCGTAACATAATGTGACGTGGCAGGGTATGGGTAATTAAAATATAATACATTAACGAATGCAGAAAAACAAGTTCTACAAAGATCTGAAAAAAAGTATAGAATATCATCATTAAAAAAAGTTGGAGATCTTAAACAAACAACAAAAATTATAGAACATAAGGTTATTTTTTTATATAAACACTCTGTATATTAAAATTTGATTTAGTTGATGCCACAACAAATTGCCTACCTTAATTATCTTTCTACAAAATATAATAAGACAGACTTTGAAAATATCCCATTGTGTTTTTTTGTGAACCCTTCCATTGCTAAAAAATTTCAAATGATGTCTCATTTAAAAAAACTAAGTTGTGGGGCTTAAAAACAGAACACTTTGTACATAGTTAAAAATAATTTTAGAGTATAGTCCTCAAAGAACCGTCCAATTTTAACTTTTTTAGTGATTCAGCCTGTATATATAGATGTGTTTAGCGACATTAAATTTCATATGGCGTTTAAACCAATGTTTCCGTATATATAGCGTGAGTAACTAAGCACGCATTCCTCGATATCCCTCTGGCTATTTGAAACAGAAAAAAGATAAGGATCAAAGTTGTGTGGTTCTTTCAGGACTATACTCTAGACACATCAGAAGAATGAGAACACAAAATAGAGTAAGATATAGTAATAAAATATGTACTATCTGAAAAACCTGGAATATCGATATATGATATCAATTAAAATATGTAAAGTATATAGGGTATTTCATTAAAAAAACTAAGTTGTGTGTTGCGTCTGAAAACAAAACAGGACACTTTGTATAGTTAAAAACAATTTTTGAGTGTAGTCCTCAAAGAAGCGTATAACTTTGGTCTTTCACTTTTTTTCTGTCTCTAATTAATGAGATATCGAGAACCGCGCGCTTAGTGACTCACCTTGTATAATCTTTACATATTTATTATCACACTGGTTTCCCTACAGGGTAGGTCATGACAACAGAGTGCTAGCACACCTCTTTCTCTCCCTCGACTGTCATAGTCCTCTTTGGTTCTGCTCTTTGT